CATTAACTTGGCCATGAATTCTCCTCATATATGTATGTATAAATCTGTTTCACTTTTTCTCCATGTTCTACTCTCATTTCTCTCCTCCAAAAATAGGGATTATTATAATGTGTTAATGACATTTTAAATTTTTTATGTGTTTTCACAAAACAAATGACATTGTTTCACATATATATGTTGTAATTTACATATTATTTAAAAGTGTTATTTTCTCATTATTTTTTCTTGTACAACCACCAGTATGTTTTTGAGACACACACACATTCCCATGTGTAATCCTGGTTTATTTTCCTAATTGTTAACATAGTGCTCCACAGTATGGCTCATCATGATGTTCTAATCCTTCTTTTGGGAAAGGACAACCAGATTTCCTTCAAAGGCCTGATAACACAAATGTCACTACATTTAACAAATTTATCTGAGACCTTTTTGTATGAGTACTTTATGTATTATATATATATATAAATGCTTCTGTTCTAAATGAGCAGGCTTTCTAATAATCACCACTACATCATTTCCTTAATCATAGCACTTCTTTGTATAGATTCTATTTCATTCAGAATTGGAACACAAATATAGGACTAAAGAATATATTGTATAATAACTCAGAATATAACATATTTAGCAGTTGTATTATAATATAAGTATAGTGTGAGCAAAGTAAAGATTACAGAGCAGTTGCTCAGTCCCAATTTTTGTCCATTTATTAATATTCCTGGTCATACAGAATCAGCAAACGTGTTTTAGTCCAAACTGTCTCCAGAAAGACATCCTTTTCTGGAATTCACATATAACATTGTGTTAGTTTAAGGTGTACAACATGAAGATTTATGCAGATATATATATTGTTAAATGATTACCACAATAGGATTAGTTAACACCTCTATCACCTCACATAATTACTGCTTTTTCTGTCTGGTGAGAACATTTAAGATCTACTTCCTTAGTGACTTTCAAGAATATATCACAGTATTGTTAACTACAGTATCCATGCTGTACATTAGGTCCTCAGAACTTATTCATCTTTTAACTGAATGTTTATACATTTGACCAACACCTCCCCATTTCTCCACATCCTCCAGGCCCGGTAACTACCATTCTACTCTCTGTTTCTATGAGTTCAGCTTTTATTCATGGTAACCACAATGGAAAATATACAGTAATTACACAAATAAACACGATAAAGAAGGCAAAGCATATTGATACCAAAATATCAAAACACAAAAGATAACACAATGAGAAGCAAGGGAGGACAGATCTACAAAAAAGTCAGAAAACAACTAACAAAATCCTGATAGTAAGTCTTTACTTACCAATAATTACTTTAATTGTAAATTTATTAAATTCTCTGATCAAAAGACACAGAATGGTTGAATTGATTAAAAAACTCAATGGTAAACAAGATGAACAATCCAATGACATGCTGCCTATAAGAGACTCATTTTAGCCATACATACACAATCAACTGAGAACAAAGGCATAGAAAAAGATTTTTCAAGCAAATGATAACCAAAAAAAAGCAAAGGTAGATATAGTTATATCAGACAAAATAGACCTTAAACTAAAAATGGTAAAAAGAGACAAAGAAAGTCATCATACTATGATAAAGGGGCAATCCATCAAGAAGACATGACAATTGTAAATATTTATGCACCCAATGTCAGAGTACCTAAATATATAAAGCAAAAACTAACAGAGCTCAAAGGAGAAGCAAGCATCAATACAATAATAGTTGGGGAATATAATACTCCACCCTCAAAAGTGATATATCATCCAGACAAACAATCAATAAGAAAACAGAGAGTTTGAAATACACAAAGGGCCAAATGGAACTAACAGGCATATGCAGAACATTGTATCCAACAACAGCAGAATACACATTGTTCTCAAGTACACATGGAACATTTTTCTAGGATAGAACACGTGTTAGACCACTAAACAAATCTTAGCAAATTCAAGAAGATTGAAAGGATACCAAGTATCTTCTCTGACCTCAACAGTGAAACTAGAAATCAATAACAGGAGGAAAACTAAGAAACTCACAAATACATTTAAATTGAACAAGAGTCTCCTCAACAGCCAATGGATCAAAGAAGAAATTAAAGGGTCAGTAAACAAGTATCTTGAGAAAAATGACAAAGGAAACACAACATACCAAACCTTATGGGATGTAACAAAAGCAGTTCTAAGAGAGGAATTCATAGCAGTAAATGCTTACATTAAGAAACAAGAAAGATCTCAAATAAAAAACCTAACTCAATGACTCAAGGATATAGAAAAAGAAAAACAAAACTTAAACCTGAACTTAGCAGAAAGCAGGAAATAATAAATGAAATAGACAACAGCAAAAAATAAAAAAAGATTAACAAAACTAAGAGTTGGTTCTTTGAAAAATAAACAAGATTGGCAAACCTTTTTCCTAACAAGGAAAAAAAGAGAGAACTCAAATCAACAGAATTATAAATGAAATAGGTAACATTACAGCTGAGGTCACAGAAATACAAAAGGCCACTATAAATAACTGTCTGCCAACAAACTGGACAGCCAAGATCAAACAGAAAAACTCCTAGAAACATACAACTTATCAAGAAGGAATCAGGAAGAAATAGAAAATCTGAACACACCAATTACTAGTACAGAGATTGAATCAGTAATCAATCATCTCTGAACAAAGAAAAGCCCAGCATCAGACATCTGCTGGTGCATTTTACCAAACATTTAAAGAATAATTAACACTAGTCCTTCTCAAGTTCTTCCAAAAAATCAAAGAGGAAGAAACATTTCAAACTCATTTTATGAGGCCAGAATTTCCCTGATACAAAAGCCAGGAAAGGAGACTATAAGGAAAGAAAACTAGAGTGACATAAGCATCATGGCAGAGTGAGGTTTTGCCTTTGTCTCTCCTCTACATCGCAAGCAGTAGGACATCCATTGATCCACAAAGGACTCCCTGCAGAATACACCAGGATGTCCGAGAGATCCATGCATCTATACATCTGAAGGTGAATAAACTGGACCTCTACGAGGCAGTGGATCTAGGAGAGCAACCTCCTCACCCCCCAGTGGCAGTGGTGATCCGAAGTGCAGATACCCCCAGTGGTGGTGGTAGTGCCCTGACCTGAGGTTCAAAAAAGGCAATGGTACCAAAGGCCAAAGGCTGCAGGAGCAGCAAAAACACTCACGGCTTACCATTTTTCCTCTCCCAGTGGTGGCAGAGGGCACACACGATCTGAGGACTCAGGAAACACAGCAGCGTTGGTGGTCGAGCTCCCTCCCTCTTCCCTGGTAGTGGCAATCTGAAACGTGGATACCCCCAGCAGAAACGATGATACCCTGTGCTGAGGTTTCAAAAAGTGTACCAGTGGTGGAGACCAGAGGTTGCAGAAGCAGCAGTAGTGCTGATGGCTCAGCCCTGCCCCCTTCCCCAAACAGTGACAGGTAGTATCTGTGACCTGAGGCTTCACAAACCACAACAGAACATTTGACCCAGTTGTGATACCCCCCAACACCAGCCTTAACAGCAGCAGGTGATGTATACAAGGCTCATGGCCCCTAGCAGTGGCAGCAACACCCATGAACCCAGTGCCCAGCAGTGGTGCTGCCTGCACCCCCAGATAGCCCTGAAGCAGCAGCACAGATGGTACACGGGGCAGCAGCACGTGAGCCTGTGTAGAGCCCACAGAGAGCCAGTGGGGGAACATGAGACCCTGGTGACCCCCAGAAGCAGCAGAAGTGCTGACCCAATAAGTGATACCCAAGACTGAAGTGACACTGTAGGCAGCAAGACACCAGTGTCTGAGAGGCACAAGTAGCAGAAGGAGAGCCATGGCAGAATGCCATGGCACAAGCACTGAGGAAGGAAAGTGCCAGCTCTAAAATGCAACCAAAAGAATATCAGAATCAAAGTAACCAAAGCCTTACCCAAATAAGAATGGTGTGTACTAACACCAATGCACTGGCAGAGTATCAACTCATCAAGCATCATGAAGAGCTACAGTAATATGGTAGAACAGAAAGAAAATGACAACTCTACAGAAACCAAACTTGAAGTCAGAGAATTCAAAACAGCTATCATGAATAAACTCAAGGAGTACAAGAAAACACAAAAAGACAGTTAAGTGAGCTCAAGAATAAAACTAATGAATAGAAAGTGTACTTCACCAACGAGGTGGAAACTCTAAAAAAATTTTAAAAACAAATTCTCGAGGAAAGAACCCAATTAAAGTGATAAAAAAAATATGACAAAAATCATTGGAAATAGAGCAGGCCATAAGGAAGAGAGAGTTAGGGAGCTCAAAGATATAAATCTAGAAATGATTCAGGTGGAAGAGGAGAGAGAACTAAGAATTTTAAGAAGTGAAGAAATTCTATGAGAAGCATCCGAATCAAACAGGAAAAACAACGTAAGAATAATAAGAATACACATTCTTCTCAAGTGCACATGGAATGTCATGCAGCATAGATCATTTGTCAGGTCACAAAACAACTGCTAGGGAATTTAAGAAGATTGAAAGCATATCAAGTCTCTTTTCTGACCACAATGGTATGAAACTCTATATCCATAACAGAAGGAAAACTTTCACGCTACTTTAGACTTAGACTGTAGTGCCCTAGAGTGCCAAGAACAGATGAAGATTCTCTGCATTCTAGACATTGTACCGACTTTCTATTATGCTAAATGTACCTGTTAGCACAAGGAATATTTACATGTGTTAAAATTTGCAATATTGCAGCCTGTCTAATTTCATTTAAATTAGTGTCAAAGATCTACTGGTAACAGATTAGAAAAGAAGCTTTGTTATGTTCAGTATCTATTTACAAACAGGAAGGGTTGCTTCTGAGAAGATCTGTTGTTGATTATCTGCTGAATCGGTAAAGTCTTAAGTGCAAAGTTTCACTTGCTAAACATTCCTGAAATTTCAAAATGTGCCTACTTTTTCACACTTATTTTTATAATAGGTTGTTCCTGTTCCCTAATGTAAGCTGTATCTGTTTCTCAGGTTTGGCAGGAGGTTAATACTCAGATGGTGTTTGTTCCAGTTTGCCATTGCTGACACCTGTGCAGCCTTTGCTCCCACCTTCCTCATTTACTGCTCACTACGCTTCTTGGCTGGCTTTTCTATCACAACCATCATGTTAAATAGTACTATGCTCAGTAAGTCAACACTTTTGATCTTGTACATTTTCTAAGCCCTGACTTTGATGTTGACATTCCACCATTGTTTAAAGTCAAAATCCTGTTTGTGTTTTCTTTCAGTTGTAGAATGGACAGTGCCTCGATTCCAAGCCATGGGAACAACAATGAAAACCTGTGCAAATAGCATTGGACAGATAATATCAGGAGGTCTGGCTTTTGCCATTAGAGACTGGCGCACCCTACAGCTTGTGGTTTCTCTGCCTGTATTTCTCATCTTTCTGTCTTCAAGGTATAAGCTCTCTCTTAGTCTTAGAGGATCCTGGAATGAAAGATGCATGTAATCAAGAGACATGAATTCTGTTTGGTCTCTGGTCAACACTTGAACATGTGCTCTACTTATCTGTGCAACTCTAAAAGATGAACTGACAAGGTTGCCAGATTACATCATGCACACTAAATTAAGTTTGGATTTCAAGTAAACAACAAATATTTTGTAATAATATCCCAAATGTTATAGGGCACATAGTTACACTGAAAATTATCACTTGTGTGAATTTTCTCTTTATCTGAGAGTTCTCTATTGTTATTTGCTAACTGGATAAAATACAGAATGTTCCATTAAATTCAAATTTTGGATTAATAACAAATAATAGTTTAGTATAACTATGTTCTATGTATTGCACAGAACATAGTTACACTAAAGAGTTATTCACTGTTTATTTGAATAAAAATATAACTAGGCACACTGTATTTTTAGTTGATAAAATTGGCACTTCTTCTGATTAAGAGGGAAGTCAATATAACTCCAAGTCTTCATTCCCAGCAGTGAAAGTGTACTGCATCATGGTGTCGTCCTCATGTTTTTCCTAGTTATCTCATAAGAGGAAGTAAATTTATATTTTCTGGTATAACAAAACAGTGGTGGGTGTTAGATTGGGGGAAAAGGCATCAGCAGGGGAGAAGAAACTTCCTTCTACCCTCTTAGGTTCTGTAGATGCTGTAAGAATTAAGCTGACAGAAGACAGATTAACAGGAGAAATGCATACAAATTTATTTATATTTTTTTGTGCACACAGGAGTCTTCAGAAGAAAAACGAAGACCTAAAGAAGTCATTAAGCCAAAAGTTGTATACATTTCTACATATGAGAAAACTTTACATTTAGGGGAAGTGACAAGACAATGTGGCTTGACCCAGGGGCAGTAATTTATGGGACTATGACTAGGAAATATATGGGGAAACTAAGGGAAAATAAGAGTCATTTTAGTAAGTTTGTACAGGTCCATTTCAGTGTCAATTCCCAGTCTCTGGTGATAAGAATGTTCTTCTCTTCCTGGCACAGGAAGGGCATCTTTCTCGTGGGAAATTTTATGACTTACTTTTTGGTAGAAATGGGAGAACAGAGAGCTCTTCCTGCATCTGCTGTTTTTCAAGTGCCTTCAGCTCAAATAATCAATATATCAAAGCAGCACATTTTGGGTGGCATATTTCAAAACCATTCCCATTTCTGGACAAAGGTTATGTGAAAAATGGGCAAATGAGAGTTAACCGCACCTCTTTTCTCTTCTTTGATCAGATGGCTGATGGAGTCTGCTCGGTGGCTTATTATCACCAACAAACCTGAGGATGGCTTAAAGGAACTTAGAAAAGCTGCACACAGAAATGGAAAGAAGGATGTGGGAGACACCCTAACCCTTGAGGTAAGCAGGAGGGGAGCAAGACATGACCTGACATGTATATTAGTCAGTATCCATAAAAGGAATGCACGGTAAGGTCTCAGGAGTGGTTGTGGGTCTTCCGACCTCACTGTCCTGGTTCTCAATGGGTGCCAACATTGTTTGGGTTAACATTAGAAAAGGAAATGCTGTTGCTGAAAGCATTGGACACACATTTTACTCAATGGAGAAAGAAAGTACTGAGTATTAACAATTATAAATTGCAGACTCACAAAGAAAAGAAGAGAGAAGGCTCAAATAAAATGAGAAAAGAAAGAGGAGAAATTACAACACATACCACAGAAACACACTGGGTTATAAGAGAAACAAGAAAAACCTATATGCCAACAAAATAAATAATCTTGAAGAAGTGGATAAATTCTTAGAATTATACAGTCTTTGAAACGGAATCAACAGAAATTTAGAATCTGAATAGACTAATCACTAGTAAGGAGATCAAAACAGTAATCAAAAACTGCCCCCCCCAAAAAAGTCAGGACTGGACAACTTCCCTGGTGAATTCTATGAAACATTCAAAGATTTTATACTTATCCTTCTTAAACTCTTCCAAAAAACTGAAGAGGACAGGACACTCCCCAACTCATTCTATGAAGCCAACATTACCCTGATACCAAAACCAGACAAAGACAACACAATAAAAGAATTACAGGCCAATATCACTGATGAATAGATGCAAAAATACTAAAAAAAATTAGCAAATAAAAAAAAATACAGTTAAAGGATTACACACCATTATCACGTGAGATTTATTCCAGGGATGCAAGGATACTTCAACCTCTGCAAATCAATGTGACACACCGCATTAACAAAATGAAGAATAAAACTCACATAATTGTCTCAACAGATGCAGACAAAGCATTAAATAACGTGCAGCATCTATTTATGATAAAGACTCTGAATAAAATATGTATGAAAGGAAAATATCTCAACAGATGACATTTTTAATATTGTATAAAACTCTAAAGAATCCACCAAAAACAGTATTAGAAATAAGAAATTAATGCAGTAAAACAAGGTACAAAATCAACATACAAAAATCAGTTGTGTTTCTATAAACTAACAATGAAATTGAAAGAGAAATCAAGAATACAATTTCCTTTACAATACCAACTAAAAGAATAAAATACTTAAGAATAAATTTAACCAAGGGGTTAAAGATCTGTACCCTCGAACCTATAAAACGTTGTTCAAAGAATACAAAAAATATGGAAAAATGGTCCCTACTCATAGATTGGAAGAATTAACAGAGTTAAAATGTCCATACATCATAAGGCAATCTAAAAGATTCAATGCAATTCCTGTCAAATACCCAATGAAATTTTTCACAGAAATAGAACAAAGAACCCTAAAATTTACATGAAACAAAAAAAGACCACAAATAGCCAGGGCAATTCTGAGAAGAAAAGAACAAAGCTGGAGGCATCACAATCCCTGACTTCAAAATTAACTAGAAAGCTATATTAATGAAAAAAAACATGGTGCTGTTAGAAAAATAGACACACAGATCAATGGAGCAGAATCAAGAGCCCAGAAATAAACCCAAATCTATGGACACCTGATTTTTAACAAAGGACCTAAGACCATACAATGGAGAAAAGAAAGTTTCTTCAATAAATGGGGTGGGGAAAACTGGATAGCCACATGCAAAAGAACGACAGTTCACCATTATCTTACACCATACAAAAAATTTAACTCAAAATGCATTAAAGACTTGAATGTAGGACCTGAAACCATAAAACTTCTAAAAGAAAACAGAAGCAGTACACTCTTTGACTTCAGTTTTAGCAGTATCTTTTTGAATATCATATCTACTTAGGCATGGGAAACAAAAGAAAAATAAACAAATGGAACTACATCAAACCAAAAAGATTCTGCACAGCAAAGGAAACAGTCAACAAAATGAAATGAAAATCTAACAATTGGGAGAAGACATTTACAAATCATATACCTGATAAGGGGTTAATATCTAAAATATATAAAGAATTCATACAACTCAACAACAAAGAAACAAACAACCCAACTAAAAGAGAAGAGGATATTTATAGACGTTTTCCCAAATAAGATACACAGATGGCCATGAGGCACGTGAGATGTTCATTATCAGTAATTATAAGGAATAGAAATCAAAACCACACTGAGATATCACCTCACGTCCATCAAAATGACTACTATTAAAATCACAAGAAATATAAAGTATTAGAGAATGTGGAGAAAAGGGAACTCTTATACACTGCTGGTGGGAATGTAAACCCATGCAGCCTCTATTGAAAACAGTATGAAGATTCCTCAAAAAATTAAGAATAGAAATATTATATGACCCAGCTATTCCACTTCTGGGTATTTATCCAAAGAATATGAAAACACTAATCTGAAAAGATATATGCTCCCCTATATACATTGCAGCATTATTCATAAAGCCAAGATTTGGAAACTACCTAAGTGTCCATCAATGGAAGAATGGATAAAGTGTTATATATGCACAATGGAATACTACTCAGGGATAAAAAGATGAAATCTTTCCATTTGCAACAACATGGATGGACCTTGAGGGCATTATGCTAAATGAAATAAGTCAGATGGAAAAATACAGAAACTTTATGATTTCACTCATGTATGGAAGATAAAAACAACTACAAACACACATAGACACAGAGAATAGGTTGTTGGTTACCAGAGGGTAAGTGGGAAGAGGGGAGGGCAAAATGGGTAAAAAGGCACATGGATATGGTAATGGATGGCAGTTAGACTTTGGGTAGTGAAAACAATGTTGTCTAGACAGAAGTCAAAATATCATGATGTACACCTGAAATTTACATAACATTATAAACCAATGTAACTTCAAAAATTAATTAAAGAAAAATTATTTTTTAGAAAAACATTGTATTGGTCTCACTCTGTGTAAGAGAATGCAATAAAAGGTAATCCATTTCCTTACAATTAATGTTCTGATGGCCATTTTTAAGAACAGTAACACCAGTAGAAGGATTAGTGACCATGCAGAATAGAGCATAAGGAAGTTCTCTAATCTGTTTATTCACCCACACACTTTATTTCATGGTATATTTAGTAAATGTCTACCTGTGGCAGGTTTTATTCTATCCCTGGAAATATGGAAGTGACCACAGCAGTCCAAATCCATGTTGTATGGAGTTTGAATTCTCCTTATTACAAGTTTTAAGAGCATGACTGAGTGGAAATGCCTCAGAGAAGTCTTTCTCTTTCTTATTTTCCATCCCAGGTATGGAAGGCAAATATTGCTGTACATCACTAGTTAAATCATTCTTTATGTCATGCACATACATAAAGTATTTATTGAAAACTTGTATTGTGCCAGGCATGGCGCTAAATCATGAATACCAAATAAAAGAGAGTCTCAGACTTCAAGGAACTTTCACATTAATATGAGATAGAAAAATGTATAGACACTTTTAAATCCAAATGTTTAAAGTGGTTAGAGAATGTAAAGAATGGTAATGGATATACGGGGAAAAAATCTACCCTCCTTTTATTGACAAAGGAGAAGATTAGAAGTTAGCCATTCAAAAAGGAGAAATAAAACATTTCTGGAAACATGTACAATGGCACACATGATGGAAGTTCTTACAGTCCCAGAGAAAAACAGAAGTCCTTTATAAGATTTTACATAATGCTCCTGAGAATTCAGATCCCACTGAAGATGGTGGGTAGAAATCAAGGTTTCCCAGAGATAAAGTGATTACATAGAAAATGGCACTGAGGGTTCCTGATATGATGGGAAGAACATTGGCTTGTGCTTTAAAAAAAAAAAAAAAGATGGGGGTGGACCTTGAAATTTAGGTGGACCTCTGTGGCACCTCCATACTGTGTTGCTATATGCCTAAATTATTTAAAATTCTTTGGGACCAATTAATTTCTTAGCAATTATCTTTGTTCCAAGCACTTACCTAGTATTTTGCCTACCAGTCTGGTCCAATCCAGAGAAGGAAAGACTAAATATTTCAGGGCCCAGGTAGATATAAAAATAAGTGATACTAGCTGAAGTCAAGAAAAAAGATGTATGATCAAGGTGAATGGCAGCTGACAATCACTCTATGCCAAGGGAAAGAAAGGGAGCATGGCACATGAGTAGCAGTTAAAATGTGATTTAAGCAAGGAATTCTATTCATGGATGGGTAGCTAATATGCCTTCATTTGATTGTTTTTTATTTTGTAAAGATATTCAGAAATTTGTGGTATTAGTCCTGTTTAAATCTCCATCTGATAGATTGCCAAACACACCACCTCCAGACAATTATTCTAACTTAAACCTGTTCCACTTTATGTCAATACCAATCTGCTCATTACTCCAGATCTCTGAAAGGTGGCCTTTCATTTCTCTGAATTCTCTTCATCATGGAATTTTCTCTAATGAGCTTCATGGTTGGTTTCATTTGTAGAGATTGGAAGAGATAGAGCTAATATTATTTGAATAATTAACAAATCACTAACTGCCTGAGCTGTGCTAGGTTGAATTCCATATGCACATTTGTGACCTCATATATGCTTTGGAAATCCTTGTGACAGAGATTATTTTTTTCTCTTACTGGTTCTCCTGATCCTTATTCTTTTACATTTTCTTCTTTATTTTTGAGGTATAATGGACATATAACATTATATTAGTTTCAGGTGTACAACATAACAATTCAATATTTCTATATATTGCAAAATGAACAACCACAACAAGTCTAATTAGCATTCATCACCATACACAGCTACAAAATTTATTTTTCTTGAGATAAGAACTTTTAAGATCTACTCTCTTAGCAACTTTCCCATATACAATACAGTATTATTAGCTGTAGTCACCATGCTGTATGTAACAAATCCATGATTTATTTTATACCTAGAAGTTTGCACCTTTTGACCCCCTTCACTCATTTTGCCCACAATCCCAACCCCCACCTCTGGAAATGATCACTCTCTTCTTTGTATCTATGAACCTGGTTTTGTTTTGTTAGATTCCACATACAAGTGAGAACACATGGCATTTGCTGTCCCTGTCTGACTTATCTCACTTAGTATAATGTCCTCAAGGTCCATCTGTGTTCTCTCAAATGGCAAGATTTCATTTTTGTCGTTGAATAATATTCCATTGTACATATATATACACCATATTTTCTTTATCTATTCATATACCAGTGGACACTTAGGTTGTTTCCATATCTTGGTTACCGTAAACAAATCTGCAATGAACATGAGGGTGCATATATCTTTTGAAGTTAGTGTTCTCATCTTCTACACATAAATATCCAGAAGTAGAATTGCTGGATCATATGGTAGTTCTATTTTTAATTTTTTGAGGAACATCCAAGCTATTTTCCATAGTGGCTGCACTAATTTACATTCCCACTAACAGTGCACAAGGGTTCCTTTTTCTCCACATCCTCACCAAATCTTGTTATTTCTTGCCTTTTTGAGGATAGCCATTCTAACAGATGTGAGGTTATATCTCACTGTAGTTTTGATTTGCATTTCATGGGTGATTAGAGATGTTGGGCACCTTTCCCTGTACCTGTTGACCCTGTGGATGTCTTCTTTGGGAAAACGTCTGTTTATATCCTCTGCCCATTTTAATTATTTTGTTTGTTTCTTGCTATGGAGTTGTATCAGTTCTGTATATATTTTGGGTATTAATTCCTTATCAGATACATGATTCACAAACATCTTCTCCCATCTGATAGGTGGCCACATCTTCTTATTCTTATTCATCTTTTTAATGACAAAGAGATTGAGGCTTAGAGATATCCTGTTACCTTCCTCAAAGTATACCTAGCATGTGGCAGAGGGATTGTATAATGCCAGGTTATAAAGTGTGGGTATAAATCATATTACACTAAGATCTCTCCTGATTTGATGCTCACATTTAATTTTAGGCATTTCATTCATGGAGGGACAACACATGCCAAGATTTTCCTGAAAGAGGCTCACCAAAGAACCAGAATAAAGGCACTCAGAAAATTACTCTCCTTCCTGAAAAAAACTGCTTTTCTAATAAGAGAAGCCAGCTGAAAAATAAGCTCAGTTGCCAGACTTTTCATGCTCATCTGGTATAAACAAAGCTTTGGACTATAGTCCAAGCAATTCTTCACTTAGTCAACTTCATGATCTATATCTCTAACCTCCACACCAATTTTGATGTCCTGCAGCCAAATTGTGTCTTGTATTAAAATGTCCTTGTTACTGTAAAATTTCCCTCAGGCCCCTTTAACTCCCTAATTCACCTTTCATCCCACTTTTACACCTGTCATTGCATCTTCCTTGGCTGTATTTTCCAGTGAACAAAAGGGAAGTCAACTATCTTGTCCTCTGTTGGGGGCTTCACAATGTCTACTATTTTGTGACAATGGGATGTTTTGCTGTTGTTGTTGTTGAAGGTTTTGAGATCCACCATGCAGGAGGAGCTGAAGACAACACAGAACAACCCTTCTCTGTGTATGACTTATTCCACACACCTAACCTGCATAAAAGGACCTGTGTACTGTCCTTTATGAGGTAGGCTTCAGACAGTGCATGAAGAAAGTTAAAATAGTGGAGATGTGATATTTCAAAGATGCAACATGTTATAGTGAAAGATTTGAAATAAAACATGAGGAAGCCACAAAGATAATTGCTATGTTTGGGGACAGTGAGAGGGTTATGAAAAAGACTAAGATGGAACTGATTGTACCATGAGGAGTTCTGCAGTTTTTTTGTTTTTTTTTTTTGAGGTCATATTGGCTTATAACATTGGGTAAATTTCAGGTGTACGTTATCCTATTTCAGTTGCTTTATAGACTTCATCGTGTTCATCACCAATAGTCTAGTTTTTATCCATCATGATACAATGTGCCCCTTTACCCCTTTTGCCCTTCCCCCACCCTCTTCCCTTCAGGTAACCACTAATCTGTTCTCCTTATCTATGTGTTTGGTTATCTTCCACATATTAGTGAAATCATACTGTGTTTGTCTTTGTCTCCAGGGTTTAATTTACTTAGGTACATCCATGTTGTTTCTCTTTTTTTATGGTTGAGCAGTATTCCGTTGTATCTTCTTTATGTGTTCATCCATTGATGGGCACATGTGTTGCTTCCACATCCTGGCTATCATGAATAATTCTGTGATGAACATAGGGATGTATAAACCTGTTGGACTTTTTCTTTCATGTTCTTTGAATAAATACTAAGCAGTGGGATAGCTATATAATATGGTATTTCTATTTTTAATTTTTTGAAGTGTCCCATACTTTTCAATTTCTTTGAAGAGCTTGAGAAGGATACATATTACATCTTTAAATATTTGGTAGAATTCACCAGAGAAGATATCTTGTCCTTGACTTTTGTTTTTTGGGAGATTTTTAATTACTGTTTCAATCTCTTTTCTTATAATCCTTTGTATTTCTATGGTGTCCATTGTAATTTGTCCTCTTTCATTTTTTATTTTACTTATTTGTGTCTTCTCTCTTTTTTCTCAGTGAGTCTAGCTAAGGGTTTGTCAATTTTGTTTATCTTTTTAAAAAAGCTGCTCTTTAGTTTCATGGATTCTTTCAAGTGTTTTTTTTAGTCTCTATTTCATTTATTTCTGCTCTATTTTTATTATTTCCTTCCTTCTACTGAGTTAGGGGTTTGTTTGTTCTTTTTTTTCTAGTTATTTTAAGTACAGTTTAAGATTGATTATTTAAGATTTCTCTTGTTTTTTTTGAGGTAGGCCTGTATTTCTATAAACTTCCCTTAGTACCACTTGTGCTCCATCCCATAAGTTTTGGCATATTGTGTCTTCAATTTTCATTTGTGTCCAAGTAGCTTTTTTATTTCTCCTTTGATTGCTTCATTGACCTAAGATTTGTTCAGTAGCATGTTGTTTAGTCTCCACATATTTGTAACTTTTCCAGCTTTTTTTATGTAGTTGATTTCTAGTTTCATACCATTGTAGCAGGAAAAGATGCTTGATATGATTTCAATCTTCTTAAATTTACTGAGGCTTGTTTTGTTTCCCAACATATGGTCTATCTTTGACAATATTCCAAGCGCACTTGAGAATGTGTATTCTGCTATTTTTAAGTGGAATGTTCTATATATACCTATTAAGTCCTTCTGGTCTAGTGTTTCATTGAAGGCCACTGTTTCCTTGCTGACTTTTTTTCCAGATGATCTATCCACTGATGTAAGTGGGGTGTTCAGATCCTCAACCATTATAGTGTTGCTGTCAATTTCTTCCTTAAGTCTGCTAATAGTAGCTTTATATACTTTTATGTTCCTATGTTAGGTGCATATGTATTAATAAGTGTTATGTCTTCTTGAGGAATATCTCTTATCATTATATAATCTCCATCTTTGTCTCTTGTTGTCTTTTTGCCTTGAAGTCTCTTTTCTCTAATATAAGGTTGGCTACACATGCTATCTTTTGATTACCAAAGCAAAAGATGCTTGCATTACCATCTTCCATCCCTTCACTCTGAGCCTATGTTTGTCTCTAGAGCTGAGATGAGTGTCCTAGAGGCACCATATTGTTGAGTATTGTTTTTTACTCCATCAAGCCACTCTGTATTTTTGATTGGTTAATTTAATCCATTTACATTTAAAGTGATTATTGATATATGAAGGCTTAATACTGTCATTTTATCTTTTGTTTTCTGATTGTTCTATATTTCTATTGTTTCTTTTTCCTTGTATTTCTGTCTGCCATTTCAGTTTGTTGGTTTTCTGTCCTGCTTTTCTCTATTTATAATTTATTACTCTGCTCTGAATTTTTTTATTATGGTTATCATTAGGTTGTATAAAAGGTCTCATAGAAGAGATAGTCCTTTTTCTGATACCTTCATCTCCATTAGCCTATGCAGGTTCTGTCCTTTTCCTCTTCTAATTCTGTTTTCTTTGTCACAAATTATTTTTCTTGTGCTGTGAGATTGCCACCAAATTGCAGTGTTTATAGTTATTTTTGATGTTTTCTTTCCATTCATCACTTATGTTTTAATTAAGTGTTTACTAACCTATTCTGATATAGAGCTAAAAATTTTTTATTCTGTCTATCTCCTTGCTCAAATCTTTGTAAATCCTTGCCCTTTTTTATAGGTCAGAGGGCTCCCTTCATCATTTCTTATAAGTCAGATCTAGTGGTAATGAACTCCCTCAGCTTTTAAAAATTTTTTTTTGTCTGGGAAAGCTTTTATCACTCCATCATACCTTAAGAATAATTTTTATAGATAGAGTATTCTTGCCTCATATTTTTTTGTCTTTCAGTAGTTTGAATATATCATTCCACTATCTCCTAGCCTTTGGGATTTCTGCTGAGAAATCTGCTGAAATCTTGATGGAGGTTCCTTTTGTAGCTTATTTTCTTCTCTTTGCTGCCTTTATTATTTATTCTTTGTCATTGACTTTTGACAGTTTTATTATATGCCTTTCAGAAGGTGTTTTTGCGTTGAGGTAATTAAGAGTTCCATTAATTTTATGTACTTGCATGTCCAGGTTCCTCCCCACGTTTGGGAAGCTATCAGCTATTAGTTCTTTGAATAAGCTTTCTGTTCCTTTCTCTCTCTCTTCTAATTCTGGGATACCTATAATCTTTGTGTTACTTCCTCATTAAGTGAATATCTCTCCAAGACTTCCATTTTTAAAAAAATTCAGTTTTCTCTCTTCCTCCACCTGAATCATTTCTAGCTTTCTATCTTCATCATCACTAATTGTATCCTCCATTTAGTCTGCTCTATTTTTAATGCTTTCTGCATTATTTTTAATCTCATTAATTATGTTTATCTTCCATGTTTGTATTTTCTGTCGGACAAAAAGGGAAATCTTCTATCTTGTCCTCTGTTGGAGGTTCACAATGTCTACCATTTTGTGACAACTGAACTGTTTGCTGTTATTGTTGTGAAGGTTTTGACATCCACTATGCAGGAGGAGTTGGAGGCAGCACGGACCAAACATACAGTGTGTGACTTGTTCCGCACACCCAACCTGCGTAAAAGGATCTGTTTACTGTCCTTCGTGAGGTAGGCTTCAGATAGTGGATGAAGAATGTTAAAATAGTGGAGACAAGATTCTATGTTTTATTTTAGGAGACACAACATGCTTAAGTATAGATTTGAGATAAAATGTGAGAAAGACACAAAGATAATTGTTACGCTTATAGTTAGAGAAAGGGTTAATGAAAGAGTGACATGAACCTATTTGTATCATGAAAAGTTTTTTTATCATATCTTTCTACTAGGCTCATCACTGGAGATGATGCTGAGAACTTCAATCACGGTACAGATTTTAGCTTAGGATTCTTCACTGATTTGTTTTCATTTTATTTGAAGTAAAATTACAAACAGAAAAGCACTCAAATATATGCAACTCAATGAATATTTATATATGTAAATATGTAAGCATCACAGTGATCAGGATATAGAAAAAAACCCTAAAACTCTAAAAGAACCCCCATGTATCTCCAGAAAAACACTCTTCACACCCCCCAAAAACTTGGCAATAATTATAATCTCCTTTAACATAATATTATTTTATAGTAATTTAAAAATCATTAACGTTCAAGGAAATTCTGTTTAAAATGTACCCAAAGCTTGTTTTAATCATGTGTGGTAAGACACACACTCCAGAATGATTGTCATAAAGAAAGTTTATATTCACAGATCCCTAGAAAGAAGAGGCATGAAACAGCCTACAGGGCCATTCAGAGAGGCACCAGGGTGAATTAGAAGGCAAAAGAGAGGGCCGGCCTGGTGGCACAGTGGTTAATTTTGCATGTTCCATTTCGGTGCCCTGGAGTTCGCCAGTTCGGATCCTGAGTGCAGACATGGCACTGCTGGGCACACCATACTGTGGTAGGCGTCCCACATAAAAAGTAGAGGAAGATGGGCATGGATGTTAGCTCAGGGCCAGTCTTCCTCAGGAAAAACAGGAGGATTGGCAGCAGTTAGCTCAAGGCTAATTTTCCTCAAAAAAAAAGAAGTCAAAAGAGAGAAGAAAAGAAAGAGCATGGCCAACAGCCTTTATTGTGTGTGTGTGGTTTTTTTTTTTGGTCAGAAGGAATGGGAAAAGAAGGTAGGTATTCTGATTAAGCTTAGGATTGGAAAGTTTAAATAATTTTAGTGGACTCTAGGCTATAGTGATGGTCCATTGTTGTCCAGTACCTGGTCCTGGGTTGATTTAGGTTGGGGGAATATTGACTTGGTGTGCGTTTGATAAAGGAGATAGTTGGGGGTGTGGGCTCCAGTTTGGAGACTTGTAAATCAAAGGTACACTCACAAGGGAGTAATTAACTATGTTGAGGAATTATCAAGCCCTGGAAAAGGCAGACTCCTCAAGATCAAGGATCTAAAGACCAGAGTATCAAAAATATAGGAAATAAGAAGACATAATCAATATAAATCTTCTACAAATCAGACCATGTCTTCTCACATGACACCAACCCCTGGCTTCTTGGCTCAGTATTATCATTTGTAAGACAGAGAATCTAAACCTGATGGCATTTGTTTTTTCTCTTCATTTAACCACAGATTTGCAACCTTCATTCCTTTTTATGGCCTGAGTCTCCACCTCCAGCACTTGGGGAAAAATATTTTCCTGTTCCAGGTGCTTTTTGGTGTAGTCACACTTCCAAGCAATTATGTTGCCCTTTTGGCACTGAATCACCTGGGCCGTAGAGTAAGCCAGATGCTTTTCCTATTCCTGCTGGGAATCTCCATTCTGGCCATCATATTTGTGCCCCAAGGTAAGAAGCCCACATAGTGGGAAATGGCTTCTCTCCATTGCTCATGGATTCTAGGGGGTCACACCTACCTGAAACCAGAAGGAAAAGGAGAATTGTATTCTAAAGATTCCCTGAAATCAATATGGGGGGTTAGTACTGCTTCTGCCATGAAGTTTTCAGAAAAAGAACCAAAGATGAGTAAAGGTCAGCTCAGGAATATGGTTGTCTTCATCGGATTCCAGAGGTATCTGGAAACTGATGCCATCTATTACTGACAGTTTTCTAGGACAGCGATTAATCACTTAGCTTTGGCCAATCACACTTTATATAGCAAGCATAGAGTGTCTAGACCTTGTCATTATATCCCATGTGAGGACACAATACTGTCACTTCCTCTTCTGGGCTTTAGCTTATTACTGCAGATTAAGTGACAATTTATTCTCTGATCTCTACGTATCCACTCACGTGTCTCATATCAGGTCTCCATAATAGCAACGCTGGTTTAGGGGCATCATATTGACCTCAAGAAAGCAAAGTATACTTATATTCAGTCAGAGAAGTGTACAGAAGGAACAAGGCACTAAGAAGTTAAGAGTCTCTCTCAGAACCTATTTTACTAAATTGAATGATCATATGTAACATATAGGGGAAACTGGGTGGTCACCATGCTTCACCTAACTCCCAGCATATGTATGTGTTTTACAAGATCCTGGATTGGTGGGCTTTACTCTTCATCTTTAATGTCAGCAATAATGCAAGTTTGCAACCTTACAACAAAGTTCACTCCAACGCTGCAAGGTTTCTAATGAAATTTTTTGGAAAGAGTGAGGACAAGTCAGGGATAGAAAACCCTCTAAAATTTCCCTTCAGTGGTTGCCAAAGTCCAGCTTTTTTCCTAATAAATGTCCTTATACTTGAATATTGAAACATTCCAGATCAAGCTACTCTCCTGCTCTCCCATCAACATAGAAGTCTTGTTTTTAATTTTTTTATTACTCTCTTTCCATTACTAGCCTCTTGTCGATATTGTGCAAACTCATAGGTTTAAAACTGCCAAATGGATGAGTCATATACTGCTCCATAATTTCTCACATGGCAGCCCTGCATTCTGTGTCAAGGGCAAAGGAGACACAGAACAGAATTAACTCAAGAGAGCACCTGCTGGACTCACCTTCCCCTCTTCATTTCTGGCAAAGCTCAGATATGCAATGGGAGAAGATGAAATAACTCAATCATTTTATTCGCCATAAGCCATAATATGTTGATGGTCACATTTCTCATCTGATTAGACACTGCACATTTTCCGACTCTGTGTAGTTTCTGTACAATATATTTTATCCTTGCAAACACCTCCAATATGGTCTGCTTCATTTGTAATTTGAGAGATGTTGATTTCTTCAGCTCCAATTTCTGGAGTCTCACTGGTCTTCCTCTCTCCAGAAATGCAGACCCCGCGTGTGTTTTTGGCATCTTTGGGAATAGGAGTTTCTTCTGCCGCTATCACCAGTGCACTTGCCCATGGAAATGAACTAATCCCCACTGTAATCAGGTACAAAGTTCATGGATGCTCACTCAGGATCAAAACAGATCTTTTGTAGATAACGTACAGCTATTGGGAGAAGCAAACTAAGGTAGGGAAGTTATCAAAAAAATTAATTATAATAGTAATAATAATAAAAATTATAGCCAAATTTTATTAAAAACTGACTTTTTGCGAGGCACTAAGTCCTTTAATGTTTCTTCCCCTATAATCTCCTGAAACTCACCAAGTATAAATGCTATGGATAAGAGTATTTTTTTATTGATCAAATCTGTCCTAATGCACATGTGAACTTGAAAAAGAATGGGGCCACCCCAATGGCACAGTGGTTATGTTCACACATTCTGCTTCGGTGGCCCGGGGTTTATCAGTTCAGATCCTGGATGTGGACCTATGCTCTGTTTGTCAAGCCATGCTGTGGTAGGCATCCCATGTAAAATAGAGGAAGATGGGCCCAGATGTTAGCTCAGGGCCAATCTTCCTCAGCAAAAAGAGGAGGACTGGCAGCAGATGTTAGGTCAGGAATAATCTTCCTCAAAAAAAAATTTTTTTTAATTGATAGCTAATAAGAGAGAAAATGTTCAAAACAAGAGTATGTCATCAATCTCCATTTCTAAACACACTGATGTGCTATCTCTCGTAAGCAAAGCAAAATAATAAATCACAAATTACAGTTGCAGATTTTGACCAGTTTTTTTGTATTATTGTTTGCACCCCAAGAGCAATAGGTTTAGGAATCATCGGAATTGCTGGTAATATTGGGGCAGCCCTGGCTCCCCTCTTGATGATCCTAGTGGTGTATTCCCCTCGCCTTCCCTGGATCATCTATGGAGTATTTCCCATCCTCGCTGGACTTGTTGTCCGACTCCTTCCTGAAACCAGGGATCAGCCCCTGCCTGACTCTATCCAGGACGTGGAAAATGAGTGAGTAAACCCTCTATCTGTCCCTTAGGGTTGCTGTGTATTATAAGTCTGTGATGAAGGAGACAACACAAGAATCAAGGTCATTTTTCCCAGAGGAAGTTTTAGACCCAGACTATTTCCACGTGGTCAGTGCCTTTGCTTTAGCTACAGACTCATCTTTCTACCACAGCAACCTCAGATTCCCACAAACCTACACAGATCAAACAGATCTGCTCTCCCTAGCCTGAACCAGTAGGTTTAATGGTGAAGCAGCCAAAATTACGTGCCCTAGTATGACATACAGAGCCCTGAAGATATTTTGCAAGCATGCACAGATCCAAACACAGGATTCTCATCCCCTTGGCCCTGGAAGCCCTCAGCCCAGGGAGGGCAGATAAGCTTTCTGAGACTGTTGGTTCCTGTAGGCCTGTATAATCTGATTCTGATTCTCTAGAGAAACAGAACTAATAGGATGCGTATATATAGAGCAAGACAGATTTATTTTAAAGAATTGGCTCACGAGATTGTGGGAGATCACAAGTCCGAAATACACAAGCAGACAGCAGCCTGGAGACTCAGGGAAGAGTTGAAGGAAGTGCTCATCAGACTGAAGGCAAATCTGGAAGCAGAATTCCTTCTTCCTCTGGGGGAACTATCATTTTCCCTAAGGCCTGCAGCTGATTGAAGGAGGCCCTGCACATTGTGGAGTGTAACATGATTTACTCAATGTCTACTAATTTAAATACTAATAACACCTCAGTAGAACCTTCACAGAAAAATCTAGACTAGTGTTTCACCAAACATCTGGGCACTCTGGCCTAGCCAAATTGACGTATAAGATTAACCACCACAAGGCCTGAGGACTGCCCTGGCCACTGAATAATCGGAAGGAGGTCAGGGATAGGACAAGAGCCCCTTCCACAGATGATGTTTCTCAAGGAAAGGAGTCCTGTTGTGTAATCTGTGAGATTCAGACTGTCTCATTTTCACTGAGAAGGAAAGTGTTGAGAAGAGAGATTTTAAAGTGATGAAGAATGGGGAAAGATTCTCAAACTTTTCTGTACTTCTTTCCCTTTTCTAAAACCCCTTTGTCCAATGCCATGATGTCTAGGGGTGAGAGTACAAACTGTCAAAGCTGACTTTCTAGATCCTGCCCTGGGAGCTGGTTCTTATTCTTCACAAGATTTACTCAAAACCTTTGGGAAAGGTTCATGGGTTTAGTGAAGCCATTGGCGAAGGATAAGCTTGACCTAAAGAATGCAGTACATACACGCTTATTCCATGTCTTTTCATTTTTTGTGTTTGTTGGTTTCATTGTATTTTTACCAGGAGAAAAAGCTGGAGAAAAGCAAAGCAGGAAGATATTTCCATGAAAGTGACACCATTTTAAGGAATTGCAAGAGCTACCTAACTGCTGATTCAAGAGCAAGATAAAGGGGGAAAATGAGATAATTCCTCATAAGGGAAAATATGTAAAATTAATAAATAAAAGTATACAACAAAAATGGTTTTTTTCCCATTGCAGTATTAAATTACTAAGTATAACATACTTATAAATATCATAATAAGAAATGTGAATAAAAATAATATTTTAAAAGAACTTAGAATGTTAATATAATTTTAGATAGCCAGCTTGTTTCTGGATAAGAAATTTGATTAGAACTCAAAAGGGCAATTCTTCCCTGAATTAATTGCTAGAATAGTTGATGTAGTAATTACAATGAAAAACTACATACTTTTGGAAGATTTGAAAAATGGTTACAAATTTATCTAGATACTAAATATAAGGTAATTCAAAAAAAAGAAAATCACGACGTGAGGGGAGTCTGGCTAGCGTGTGGGATAGCAAATGTTCACCTTTATTATAAGTGAAATAGTCAAATAGTAATAGCAGATGCATTTACATACCTAAGGAATTCCAGACACAGATCACAGTAAATGCAACACTTAATATGTAATATTGGCATCATAAATCACAGGATAAAAAGAAGGATTATCCAACAAATAGCATAAATAACTATTTAAAAATAAATGACTATAATGTGAGCTCTTAACCTAAACTAAAAAATTATACTTTAATAAAATGTTAAATGAAATTGAAAAACTCTAATATTCATTAGAAAGCATGCCTACAATATCTTTGGTTAAGTAGGTTTTGAACAGTAACACAAAAGCCAGAAATTTAAAGACAAGTATATTTGAATACTACTCATTTGAAGCCTCTGTGGGGCAAAACCCTAACAACTTATCAGAAAAAACTAGAAAAATATTCATCAAAGTGATAAAAACAGGTAACTTTTAGTGGTGGACTTCTAAGGGATTGTTACTTTCTCCTTTGTAACTTTATTCAAAGTTTAAATGAAGAACATGTAAAATTTCAAAGTATTATATCATGCCAAAAATGAAAGAGCAAATGACAACATAAATAGTTTTTAAAATGTACTTTTACTATGTAGAATTATCATAATATCTATCCAAAAAGATAATAGATAATTCCATATAAAATGAGTAAAAGGCAGCAGATATCATTTTCAAGAGAAAAAAAGAATCATGGGCAATCAATTTATGAAAATATGTACAAACCTACTGGAATTAAACAATAGAAACTAAAATGAAAGATCAACTTATAATGCGATCACTGTCAAGGCTGGTGAGAATATAGTTAAATAGAAACTGTTTGATTTATGGTGAAACTATAAAATAATACATGATAGAGAGATGCTAAAAACACATATTGGCATCATTATTAAGAGATTTGAAACAAATTTTCATTAATTTAGCAGCCATTTTTGAGCATGTAGTAACTACCAGGTGTTATAAGCATCTGAATGTGAAAAGAAAAAATAGGCATAAAATAGATGTAATGGGTATGTATGTTAATACACAAGTGCAGGTAGGGTCTCACATTTTAAATTTCTACGAGTCAAAATGACTTTAAGTTCCCATTTCCTTCAGGTTGGCAGTAAATCACAGGTCAGTTGTTTGGAGATTATTGCCACAATCCTTCTCTACCAAAAATGTCTAGATCACACAGGCACATGCAATGCCAAAGTGATGGAGTGACAACAAGAGAGGGTAGCTATGGGTTATCAGTTATCTGTTCAAGGAAATTACCAGGCTAATACTAGCCCTTTACACACTTGACTCCTACAACTTCCCATTCAGCCCATGAGGTGTTGGAATCTCAGGCTTCCACTCTGATTGTTCGGCTCCCTAAGCAGCCACTCTGTCTGGGTCTTCTGCTTCCCTGGGGCACTACCATGGGTCAGGACTGGGCCTTTCTCCCCATAACCTACAGACTCTCCACAGATTTCACACCTTCCCAATCACTCAACTTCCTTTCTCTTCTTCCATTACCTCTTCCAGAAACCCTCTAGTTATCCTATGAACTTTAGATTTTGAAAACAAAGTCAATCAAGATTCTTCTGCTTTTCACTTCCAAAATACCGTCTGAGAGACAAAGGAGTGCAAAAATTACAAACTACAGAATTTGAGAAAGACACGTAAGGAATTCCAGGGAAATCATCCTTAATGAATATTATTGGCTTCTCCAGCCACATTCTTCCTCTTAATGAAATGTTTGTGATCCTATCATAACAAGGACCAGATAGAACCTATTGTTGTTCACCTTGAAGGATGGTGCCCAGTCCATAGATTCTGGCGTGTCTGGGGGAGAGTGTCCCACAGTTCTTCATAGTCCTTTGATGTTACAAACCAGCAACTTTGCTCCACAAGATGGTCAGTGATGCAGGGATTGAAAAAGAGTGATGTAAGAAGTGACATCAGGGACGATGGAAGAGTAAGAAGCACCAGGAAAACATCTTTTTATGTGGACAACAAAAACAATGGCAAAAAGTATCTGGTTAACTATTTTAGAAATATGAAGTCTAATCAAAGCTTGCAGCTCCCAGGTGAAGGCTTGGCTGATAAATTGTGATTAATTTCAGTCAATTTCAACCATTACCACATTAGTGGCTACCATTCACACACACTCATCCCTGTAGTGGGTAGCCATGCTCATGTTTCTGGAGCAGGTTGTGGGAGCCACGGCGGGCAAAAAGGACCTTGTCATTCAAACATCAAGGATCTGTGTTCTGATTGCTGTTTCTGATGACAGAGGTGCTTACGTAGAGGTGTGTGACCATTGCTGACTTGATGAGCAGTGCATAGGTCTGCACCTGGGATCCAAACCCCTGAACCCTGGGCTGCTGAAGCAGAGAGCACAAACTTAACCACTAAGCCATCAGTCTGGTCCCTGTATGATATATTTTAAAGTTGCTAACAGAGTAGATCCAAAAAGTTCTCACAACAAAGAAAAAAATATTTTTTATTTTTGTATCTATTTGAGATGATGGCTGCTATCTAAATTTATTTTGTTGATCATTTCACAGTGTATGTAAGTCAAGTCTTTATGCTGTACATCATAAACCTATACAGTGCTATATGTGAATTATATCTCAATAAAACTGGAAAATAATATATACACCAAATATTGAAATACCTAAATACATTAAGCACTTGCTAACAGATATGAAGGGAGAAATAGACAAGAATACAATAGTAGTAGGGGACAGAGATATACAGAACATTCCATCTAACAGCAGCAGAATTCATATTCTTTCTAAGTGCACGTGGAATATTCTCTAGCATAGATCATATGCTAGGTCACAAAAAACTCTGAAAATTTAAGAAGATTGAAATAATATAAAGTATCTTTTCTGACCACAACAGTGTGAAGCTAGAAATCAATAATAGGATGAAATCTTTCACATAACTTCAGCCTTAGCCTGCATGGTCCTAGAACCCCAAGAACAAAGTTAGATCCACTGCATTCTAGACACTATACAGACTTCCTTCTCTGCTAAATGCATCAGTTAGTACAGGGAATATTTATGATGTGTTAAATCTTCCAATACGGCAGCCTGTCTTATTTCATTTGAATTGGTGTCAAAGATCTACCGGCAGCAAATTAGAGAAGCAGCTTTGTTACACTAAGAATCTATTTACTAACGGAGAGAGTTGCTTCTGAGAACATCTATTGTTGATTATCTGTTGATTTTGCAAGGTTTTAAGTGCAAAGTTTCACTTGTGAAAACATTCCCTAAATTTCAAAATGTGTCCTTTTTCACGCTTACTTTTACAATATGTTGTTTTGTTCCCTGGTCTAACCTGTACCTGTTTCTCAGGTTTGGGAGGAAGTTAATCCTCAGGTCATGTTTGCTCCAGTTTGCCATTGCTGACACCTGTGCCTCTTTGACTGCTCACTGTGCTTCTTGGATGGCCTTTCTGTTGTGAACATCATGGTAAACAGTGCTATGCTCAGTAAGTCAATACTTTTGATCTTGTACATTTTCCAAGGCCTTATTTGATGTTGATATTCCACCATAGTTTAAAGTCAAAATCCTGTTTGTGTTTTCTTTCAGTTGTAGAATGGACAATGCTCAGATTCCAAGCCATGGGAATGACCCTGACAGACTGTGTCAATAGTATTGGGCAGATCATATTAGGACGTCTGGATTTTGCCATTCGATACTGTGAACCCTCCCACTGGTGGTTTCTGTATTTGCCATCTTTCTGCCTTCAAGCTATAAGCTATATTTCAGTCTTTGAGGATCCTGACATGAAAGATGCACGGAATGAGGACACATGAATTCTGTTACATCCTTGGTCAGCAATTGAGCATTGTTTTACTAATCTGTGTATATTGAGAAGCTGAACAGACAGTGTTGCCAGATAACCTCATAGACACTAAATTAAATTCGAATTTTGGATAAAAGACACATGTTTTAATATCCTAATATCCTAAATATTATATAGCAAATAGTTACTGTGAACATTATTTATTGTTTGAGTGGAATTTCTATTTACCTGAGAGTTCTGTATTTTACGTGCTAACTGGATAAGATGCAGAATGTCCCATTAAATTCAAATTTTGGATAAATAACAAAAATATTTTAGCATATCACAAATATTGCATGGAACATAGTTATACTAAAGAGTGATTCACTGTTTATTTGACTACAGATTTAACTAGGCACACTGAATTTTCAGTTGCAAAAATTGGCACTTCCCCTGAATAAAGGGGGAGCCAATAAGACTCCAAGTCTGTATTTCCAAGAGTGAAAGTGTACTGCATTAAGTTGTCATCCTAATATTTTCCTAGTAATAGTACAAGAGGAAGTAAATCTATGTTTTCTGGTATAACTGAACAGTGGTGGGTGTTAGACTGAGAGGAGAAAGGCATCTGCAGGGGAGAAAAAAACCTCCTTCTACCTTCTTAGGTTCTGTGGATGGCCTAAGAATTAAGCTGACTGGAGACAGATTAACAGGAGAAATGTATACAAATTTAATCATACAACATATTTCAATCCTGACACTATCCACCTAGAGTTAGCATCAGATCCCACAAGTTAAGGGCTCATGCCCACAGGACTACATCTCCCAATGTCAGATGCCACTTCCAAGCCCAGATTGTTCCCTGTGCTTCTGACCAAGTGGC